AGCAATCTGGAGATGTGGGACACCACTGTGATGCATTGCTAAACCCTTTAATACTGAAGCAAAGACTTCATCATATGAGTCACTGTATTGCGAAGAACACCGACTACAGATGAAGCTACGGTAGGTTTGATGGGAAGCTATTTTGACAGACTCTATAAACTTTTAATCTTAAATTTATATGCTGACGTTGCCAGCTCAGTGAATTTCAGTACTCTGTTTGGATTTCAATGTGGAAACGCTAACCAGGACAAGGGTAAGGACTGTATTTTCTATTTGATCCTCAAGGGGTCGCCGAGGGATATGACTGAACCGCTGGTGGCTTTGGATGAAGGTGGAAGGATTTTTAGTGTTGGAGNNNNTCTGCCTGAGAAACACCTTTGGTTCCTGTGTTGTGCATCGGTCTCAACCTCATTTCTGATGGTCCCTTGATCTTGTTGTCGTACCACAACTGTAAGACAGTCGTAGTCACTTCTGGTGTGCCTAAAGTTATTTTCAGAATTCTCGGACCGTCTCCGCGGTAGTTAGGAGAATAGGGGAGACGGCTAACTGCTGTAGTCGTAATCTGGCGAAATCTGATGAGATCTTGAATGAACCGCCACCCTTTACAATCATTTTGCTGGCATTTTGATGCGTCTGGATCATTTAATTGTGGGACTCCGTGAATAAGAATCACCCGGGCATCGTCTGTTTCCCGTACGCCGTCCGGGGTTATTCCGTTGATGCGCGCGCTTGCTCCATGGTCTGTCTGGTAGAATCCTTGTTTTACCTGAACTTCCTCGAAGGAGAATGCTGGACAAAAGAACGTTTTCTACGTTTGATTCGCTACATAGTGTCACCCGAAGTAACCGGTGTGAGGTGAATTGGGCTGTCGCCGAAGGCGCGTGAGACCCGTAGGTTGGGCACTGATCCCCATTCGCGTACACAGAGCATTCCAGCAACTCAGCTCTTCGTCTTGTCTTTCTCTCAGTGACAATGCCGTGGGCTCAGAAAGGTTTGTTCAAACCACAGTCAAGGATTGTTGGTGGCGTCTTTCTTTTTTGCAGGCAGAGCTGTTTTCTTTGAGGAAGCAGATAAGGGAGGCCACTGGGTATGTGTGTGCTCCGAGGTAGCAGGTGCTTCTACAGTTGCTTTCGTCGTCGCTCCCAGTTCAGCCGTGTGCGTCCCCTGCCGTGGGGTGACCACTTGTGTTGAGCATTTTGGTGGTTTGCTGGGTTTCCGGATCGGGCTAGCTGGTGTGATCCGTGATCCGCTTTTTTGCCTCACATGTGGTCGTTTTCGAATTCGCTTTTTCTCCGGCTGTGGACAATAGCTTCTCGTACTTGTGTATGACATAAGTGAGGCATTTTACAATCGGTATTTCCGCACATTCTGTAAAGAACCATATGCGTTCCTGGCTGAGTGGCTAACTGTTTTGCCTGTTTTACCAAGAGTTTGGCACATGAAAGGTTAAAGTGTTTCAGGCAGTGTGTGTAAAATATCCCCGTTTTAACGTCTTTCTTACAACTCCGTAAACCGCATAATTCGGATGCCGTCGAAACACTTGGTGCAGCACTTGTTGACACCGTGCGACGTCCCAATTTTGCACTTTATCGAACGGCGAGACTGATGAAGTATGAAGCGAAAGAATTTGTCTCGGTCGTCCGCTCCTCCGGATCAATGGAAGTCATAAGTACACAGAACAATGACAAAAGTCACGTTGGAAATATCGATCGGCTTTGCTGGCCGCAGTGTAACTGCGGGTGGTAGCAATGATTGCACTGAACCGCACAAATATATCCGTAGAATGCTTGAAATTGAACTTAGAAAGCTTAATCAGGGCTCACTGGAAAGGTTGTTGAATTTCCTATCGAGCGATACCACAATGTTGGCACAGCGATTAAAATTTCACAACTAGCGAAATGCTCACACACAACTGAGCGTCTCAAGTAGTCTCGCATAGGAGGCCTTATTTACTATCTTCCCGTGACGCAGAACGGAGAGCGCGAAAAACCAAAACCCGGGGCAATATCGGAGTTGATAAACTACTGACAGTTCATCTAGTGGAATTGCCTAAAAACCCTGATTCCTTATTCAATTCTGAGATAACCCATCTGAATGCAATCTTTGCGCCCAGATTCTGCGAACAAAGAACGCCCGGCTGTTATGGCAACATATTAGATTTCACTGTGTTCAGATTAGAACACATTCGAATACTCTAGTGGACGTCAACAGCCTCAA